TATCAGTTCAGTAGAATAGATTAAGGAAGTCTTATCTTATCTTATCAGTTTAATAGGATAGAGTAGTAGATTAGCAAGGAGTCCTCCTAAAAGTAGGATTCTACCTCTTGTAATCTCCTATTTAAGGAGCTGATATTATTCAATAAAGATATCGAAAATTTTAGTCAAGAAAGAGAGCTAGGTGATCTCTTGGACAAATCACCATTAGGGCGCCAAGATAGGTTCATCAAGAAAAGGGAGGAACAAGGGAAAACATGAGGTTTTCCCTGTGGACCGACCCGTGACGAGATCCTATTCCCGGGCCCATAACAAGCCAGTAAGTCATTTATCCATTTCCTGTGAGGTGGCCTATTTCAGTTGGCATTTCTTTTCAGATCTCTTTGGGGTGAGGTATTGTCAGCCTAGTTCCACAGGTGAACTTTTTCCAAGATGTCCGAGGCTTGAAGACCGCAACAAGACCAAAATTGGTTGGAGTTGCATCCCCTTCACAATCTGTTGGGAAATATAGAAGGAGCGTAATAGACTATGTGCAGGGAAGTGTTGAAGTTTTGATAGAGTGATGGGTCATGGGTGATAATTTTAGGAAGTTTTAGATATATCTAACATTGTTATTTTGAGTCTTTTTGAGTAATTGTAATCAAGGTGTTGTTTCACACCTTCTTCAGTTGTACTCAATCTTTTCCTTTTTTAATAAAATTCTTTTTTCTATTGTTACCAAAGAAAAAAAAAATTAACAACGGATATGGCATTGAACAGAACGGAATGATGAAACAGGATTCATATAGCTGACCCCATATGGTTGGGATGATGATAATGATGATGATATATATTAGCAGTCTGTGTTTTATAAATCTCACTGTGGTGCTACTAGAATGGTAGCTTGCATTTTTGGGGAAGAGCATGATTATGTTGGCAAGTGATGCTATTCCAGATCCAGTAATTATTGAGCTTGACATGGCAATAGCATTGACTTGGTTTGTAACTCTAAAAATGCCCCCATGTAGGCCTAGTTCATCCTAAATCTAAATTGAATCTGTTGCCAAGCTCTATAAATACTTATTCTTTACTTTATTGTCCTTGTTCATACTTGTCATACGTTTGATATTAAAAGATCTGTTTGCTAAAATTCTCCAGCCAGCCTATTTCATCCTTAGTATCCATATGACTGTCAGTCAAGTCACTGGCCCCTGATCATACATGTCCTACAATATTTTGGTATTAAAGCATGTTTTTTGCTAAAATTCTGCAGCGTCCTATATCATCCTTGTTGTCCATATGATTACCAAAGGGATAATGTTCCAAGCCACTTCCCTTCCCTTGATTAGTCCTTTAAATTGCCATGCTTGTGTTTGTTTTGTTTTCCTTACTACATAAATTTGGCTAGTTATTGATCATATTACTTGAGGGAGCAAGGGCCTTGCTTTGTGTAGTGGTAAAGTCTCAGACCGACAAGCATTAGAATGCAAGTTGGAGTCTGAGGGTAGCCACTTCAGGTAAATAACTGCTGAAGGTTAGGTCCCTGTCCAGTTCATCCTTCACAAGACCCAGATAACCATCATCACCATAGTTTTCAAGGCTCCAAGGTGAAGCTAGGTGACAGGGGGCGCCTTGTCGCCTAGGCGATGGATTTTTTTAAGTAAAAATCACATATCCTAGGGTAGTTCCCTAGGTTCCATAACCAACTTTCTTTAATAACTATCCATAATTTTCATAAGAAAATTATAAACTTCATGTGTAAATCTAGAAAATCAACATATTTATGAGAAGAAAAAGAAGAAAGGAAAGAAAATTCAAAAAATATAGGGGCTGAACCCCTATTTTTGTTATAGGAAAAGAAGAAAAGAAAAGGTGGAAGAAGAAATGTATTGATTAGACAAAATTTTAAGTTCTTCCCTTACTTATTGGTTCAGATTTTTAAGTCATTGAGAGCTCAGTACAGCAGTTAGCAATGTTTGTGTTGATTAATCCCTAACAAATAAGAAAATAATAAAAATAAATTAGTTTATAAACACAAAAAATAATATTTTTCTTTAATAATGTCTATTTTATAATTATAATCTCAAAAAAAAAAAAACAATATAGAAGTATTTTATTACACAGTATGCAAAACTGCTTGGTGACTGGGCAAGGCGAGCCTCCAAGGGTGCCTTGTCTCCTAGGCGTCGCCTTGACAACTATGACCATCACTAACATTGGGTAGTGACCTTTGTTTTGTCTTATTGGGCAATTAATGTTCTCATCATAACCCTACGGGCTCAAAACTCAGGATTAGAAATTTATTGTTGGTACTTGTACAATCTCAAAACTTTTTTTTTTATTTTAATATTTTTTTCTCTCTATTACTCAAAAGAAACTTGTAATAACATCTGCCATCTCAGACGTTCTCTTTTTTTTCTTTTTTCAGTTCACAATTTGTGCAAAGCATCTTGTTTCACTCCAATAACTTGGTTTGCACAGAATAGCAGCATCTACCAAATGTTCTAATGAAGTAAATGTTTTTCATTGGTTATGAGTGAAACTTATTGTTCTGCATTGTAGGATCTAAGGAATCACTCTAACTTCAACTGTTTTGTTTTCAGGATAGTGATCCAATGTTAACAGATCGAGTTTGGGAAACACTTGTGAAATCATTTGCTGGTCAAATGAAGTCTGCATTTACTGCATCAAGTTTTGTTAAAGAAATATTTACTATGGGATACCCAAAGCTGATCTCGATGATTGAGAATCTTCTTGAAAGAATTTCACATGACACTGATGTCAAAGGGGTTTTACCAGCTATTAGTTCAGAAGGAAAAGAACAAATGGTTGCTGCCATTGACATATTCCAGACAGCTTTCTTGGCTCTCTGCTTGGGGCGCTTGTCAGATCTTGTCAATAGTGTGTTTCCAGTGTCCACTCGGGGTAGTGTTCCCTCCAAAGATCAAATCTCAAGAATTATTTTACGCATCCAGGAGGAGATTGAAGCAGTTAAGTTGGATGGGCACTTGACTCTTCTTGTCTTGCATGAAATTGGAAAAGTTTTGCACTTGCTAGCAGAAAGAGCTGAGTACCAGGTATGTGAGTACTTCGTCCAACAGGGAACTTATAATTGCATCTCTTTTCATGGAAGTTATGTCATTGGTTCTGCACTACCTGCAGTTAAATTAATCCTGTGTTATTTGCAGTTGGGGAGGCTTTTGGTGTAGGTTGTTTTGGGATTCAAGGCAGTTGTGTCATTTAGTGCCTTTAGCTGCTGGGGTTGTTCATTCTTGTCAAAGGCATGTGGTCTTAGGGCCTTGATTTTTTTTTTCAAGGGGCTTTTTCTGTACAATTTTCTTTCTGTATTTTTTCTCTCTGTTTTCCCTTTCTATGGGGCTTTTGTGTTTTTCTTTTTCTCTCTTGTTGGCTTGGAACTTGAAATCCCGAATTCCCCCATGAATAAGACTTTGCACCATGATCACTTTATTGAGAGCCACTAACAAAAGAATACATCCATATGAAAGGGAATTTGATTTTCACTTTGTTCTGTCTGTATGTATCCACAAATTTCATAAGAAATAGAACATGCGTGACTACAAGTACAGATAGTCTCAATAGATAGATAAATGGAACCATTTGCATAAAATCATAGTTCAAAGCATCATGGTATTTTCCATTTCTTTAGAGGGAAAGTGAGGGGTTGTTGAGGCATTTAAAAGCTCATTTGTGTGTCATATACCTGCTAAATCAAGTTCCTTTTGTTTAAAGCGTGATTTACTGATGAAATATTGTACTGTAAAACTTTCTTGAAGTATGAATATTTCATTTTCTTTCTGAAACATAAAAATCTGGGTCAGTGCGGGTATGATCCTTGCTGATATGAGATCTCCTTTTCAAGCTTGGTGCCTAAGGCAGTTAAGTGCTTTTTTAAAAAGGGGAAGTATTTTTTGGGATCTAATGCCTTTTGCCATCTGTCGGTGTTTATTGGAGGAGTGAAATACAGATTATTTTATTTTATTTTATTTTTTACACAAGGAACCATCCAGAGGAGAGAGTCAGAGAAAATTGAGAGGTTCTATTTTTGCTCATAGTTCTGACTTTCATGATTTTATCTTATCAGCTCTTCTTTTATTATTTTTAACTGGCATGCTATTATCTTCTAGGGAGTGGATGTTGTATAAGCTGTTAATATTGTGTACGAGTCATTTTCTTAAGGACCATGTAAGCTTTTCTAATTGGATTGTTGCTCCTTTCTAATATTTGACATAGTCATACATGACATATGCTTGTAAAAAAGGAATTACCTTCTGAAATTAGTATTTTAGGACTTGTACTGGACATTGATATGTAAACCCTTGCAGGATCCTAGGTTGAATCTGCCATGTGGTCACAAGTTTTTTTTTGGGGGGGGGATGAAAAAAAGTGGGGTATGATTTGGCCATATTCATTTCTAGATAAACGGGGCATGCCCCTTATAATGAGACAGCAACTACAAGTTAAAAAAAAAAAGGAAAACACCACCAAGTTTTGACTTTCATCATAATAAACTATGGTTTCTTCTTTTCACTGGGAATATGCTTGGCTTGTTGCAAAAGACATGTACCCAAAAAGTCTCTGAAAAAGTTGCATAACACTGTTAAGTGCAACAATTTGTTCAAAAAGCTTTGGTGCATTTTTAACATTGTTCAATGTTTAATGCCTAATAGAACTTTTTTTCTTGTAAAATATCAAGATAACTTTATTGATATTTAAAAAAAAATGTTAGTTTCCAAAAACAAAAAACAGCCACAGTGGTGGTTAACTACGATTAACCACTTAACCTACACTATGGCATTCATTGCTGAATTTAGGACCCCCTTTCCCTTGATGGACTAGTCCCCTAAAAAGATGATTCCTCATTGTTCCTTGCTTTGGTAGAGAATCTGCCAAAGCATTTGCAGGCCTTGGTACCCAAACCTCTATGGCATAGAGAGCACTCAAATATCTTTTACCTCCCTTATTGCGTAATGCGTATCCATTTTTCCATTGGCCTTCTTGATTTCTTTTTAGCCACCTTGTTAACACTTTTGAATGCCCTTCAATTATGATGTTCCTTAGATTAATGGAGTTAGCTCTTCTTGCTCCTTCTAACACTGCCCATAGTTCTGCTCTAGTTAAATCTCCATTCCTGGCAGGTCCAGTAAAAAGTGCTAGGATATGCCCCTCCTCATCTCTAAAGGCACCCCTATTCCAGATTGATCTAGATTACCCAAGCTGCACCCATCAAAATTCAACTTGATGAGACCTGCCACAGGATTCTCCCATTCAATTGTCATCGAAATTCTCCTTGATGAAGATTCAGCCACTGACCTTTGAAGATCAACTTTGTAAGAACTGCTCTCCTGCTAGTTTAGGGTCCAACGGCCAATGTGATTTAGGTGTCTCATTGTTAGTGAAGGGGTTTTTTGGTCTTTGTACCTGTTGAGAGTGCTGATGTGTACTGTTATGTTAGTTCGAGTGCCTCTTACTTAAATAAGGGCACTTWTGTCTTTTCCAGTCACATTAATAATATAATAACAGGTCTGGCCGAAACTAGGTTGACTTTTTTTCCTAATTTTCGAACCAGACCTTTTCTCTTCTCCTTCCTCTTTCTTCCCTCTTCTTTCTTCTCTTCCTTCTTGCTGTTTACTTTACAGCTAACAAACAAAACAGATTTCTAGGGCAGGCTGAACTTTAACATGGTACCAGAGCAACATCAAACAAATCAGTCCTGCTAGAATTCTGTTTTCTGCCCATTCGAACTAGGGTTTTTCTTGGATTTCTCAGTTGTTGGTTGGAGACTGGGAAAAGGGCTGAAAAGGAGTGATCGCCCTCTTCCCTTGGAGGTTTCTATGCCTCCGGTGGTGTTGTTGGTGATYGRYTGYTGTGGTTTCTAAGCCCTCCCCTAATTAATGTAGGGCTGGTGTGTGTGGTGCAGTGGTGTTTCATTCCTTCGTGTGGTTGGCCTTTAGGCGATGAGTGTG